GTGACCCATGAGGGGGCTGTGAGTGGTTACAGTCCTTGCTGTGAGCTGCTCATCTCACGCATCTGTCATCTGTGTACAGGCTGTGTACTTTGTGTCAAGCTGCCATGAGATTGTTCCCTCTTGGTAGTTTCTGAGGCTGCTTGATTAGCTGGGATTTCTAGGCTTGTTGTTTTGAATGAATTTAATGTCTTTATTTCTCATTTCTCCTTCCCCATCAAGCAACCAGCCCTAGTTCTGCATGCGTCACAAGGGACCAGACAGAGTCTCAAGATGAGTTTGACTTGCTGTTTGACTCTGTAGCGGAGGGACTTCCAGATGAACAGCCACCACCCCTTTCAGACTCTGATCTCGCCATCTTCGACCCCTGTGCCAAAGAAGGTGTTTTTCATCTTTTTTCATCACAAAATCTGATATCTGCTTTTCTGGACTATGATACTGGCATAAAGATGTTATGTTTTAGCTTTGATTTGAAGGCAAGATTGTATTAGTAGTCAGTATTGCATATAATCAGCGTCTGTCTTTATCCTCATTGTGTTTGTTCTCTTTTTTTTCTGTCCTGTCGATAGATCAGCCCAACGCGCCGCATGACCACTCTGAGCTGATGTCACTCCTATTGGCCGACCCAAATAGCCCTGTAGGGCTGAGTGGGGAGGCGGGGTATCTGGCACAAGCAGCCAATGAGCTGAATGCAGCAGTGGAAGAAGAGAAGGGGGGGGAGTATAGTGGTGCGATACTGCGATACAAGGCTGCTGTGGATATACTGATCAAAGGAGTGCAGGGTGAGACGAGAGACTTGTTTAGAACTATAAGCCTTTCTTAAGCCATGCTGTTAGTAGAGATTATTCCCTTAAAGCTGCATGACGGAGCTGATTGTGTAATGGTGTTTAATGCTCGCTTTTATCCGTGCAGAAGTGACCTTGTCACTGTGCCTGTCACTTAAGCCAGCGGCCTTCTCTAAGGCCTCAGCCAATCCAAGGCACCCCTCACCCCCTGTCTGGCCTCACCCCCTGGCACCCCTCACCCCGTGTCTGGCCTCGCCCCCTGGCACCCCTCACCCCCTGTCTGGCCTCACCCCCTGGCACCCCTCACCCCGTGTCTGGCCTCGCCCCCTGGCACCCCTCACCCCCTGTCTGGCCTCACCCCCTGGCACCCCTCACCCCGTGTCTGGC